CTACACATAATGAGTGTTACAAGTTGTTGTTGCGCAGTTACATACCTAGTTCAAGATCTTGTAGCCGTTTCGTCGTATTTCCTCCAGACTTTGATGAAATACGCTTTCAAAATTTGGAAATGTCGTAAAATTGAAGAGCTCGTTCGCATCGGGAACGACTGTGAAACATGGATAAAAATGCATCAAAAAAGGAGGAGTGTGCGAGCGGTAGACTACTGTGCACATAAACATGGGATCTAACGAATGGTGTTCTACCTTGAGGTCAGAATTGGATTTTGCCCCAGCTTAAAAGGTAAAGCTGGTGACCTACTTAACCGATCCCGACCCATAACACATCCTGGAACTCGTTGTGAGGAGACGTATCTATAGGAGTTTAAATTTTTCCGTTTCATTCGCTTCAGCACGGAGTTTATGGACTAGAGCGACGCGTCTCGTAGGTCCGACTGTCAATCACATTCATTTTTCGCACTTCTGTGAGCGTATTGTAGTGGAGATACGACGAGAAAGCGTTTCTTCACAATCCTAACCAAGAAAGAATCATTGCAGTCTTGTTGCCTCACTTAAGCCAAAGGTACGTTTCTAAAGTGTTTTGAGACCGCTTAAGTCAAAATAGGTTTTTCAATTATGTGCCTAAAGATCCTCTAACCCAATTATGTCGCCAAATCGTTGGTTCGAAGCTCCTGTGAGGGTTCTGAGTAGCCTAGAGACTTTTTTAAGCACGTTAACTAATGCGCGAACTTGCTGAGGAGTCGATCTTACGACCTCTAGCCTCCAAGCTTGAGCTGCTACCACTGCACTGTGTTCGCTTCGCAGCTATGTTCAGAAAAGCGTTCAAGGCTAAGCGTCTCAAGTCTTCGCTAGCTTGACTTACATAATGACTTTTCCTGGTGACCGGCGTTGAAAAACACTTTGTAAACACAACCACATAGCACACAATTCACAGTAGAGCTCTCTGAATCCTGTTGAATTCCGTGTTTACTGAAACTTTGTTAGATTTTTTCCTGAATATACACTTTTTTACCAGTACAACTATCACATGTTCAACGTTTCATCGAACTGCTTACACAACCCATGACTTCTAGCCTGTGCGCTCCTTTACTGTATAACAAGAAGAAATTGCTCAGTTATAGTCAATAACACTCCTTCGGTTGAGATTCAAACCGTCTGTCCATACTTGCCAAGTACCATCAATAAAATGCTGCCTAGTGGTGTAATTGGTAGCACATTTGCCCTGTAGGAGAGAGATCCAGGTTCGAATTTAGGCTGGGGCAAGGTGCTTTGCCTATAGTTGCTCATTTCAACACTATTGTGGTATTTCGTATGGTGGACTGCGGCCAAAATCAGCAGTTAACAATCCAAAATGAGTCAAAAATGTATATTTTCTCTACCGTCATGACCTTGTTATGTCTGTACGGCCTATCGTGATCACCCACAGCTTGCTTTCATTGCCATACAACCTGTACTGTGACCTGTGCAGGGAAACTATGGTCACAATTTAGAACACTAAAGCGGTATAAAAAAGCAGCAGGTTCATCCGTTCTCATCATTTCTTGGCCCCTGTTCCCCCGTTTGCCCTGCACGACGTTCACTGTTTTCATCTGTGTTACAGTTATCAGTGGTGGATCAAAACTTCCCAACAATTTGATGGCGTTCAAGTTGGTTTTTTGCCTGAGTGACTAACTTTTTCAGTCAATTTGGATCATTAACCGATCGAGTGTCTTATAAAAACATCCAGAATTGTTGAGCATGAAGTTGTAACACTTACAGAGAAAGAGAACCTCGAATCTCGTTTGGCTACTCAACGACAACTATATGTATCGAACGAAGAGACAATGCGTGCGAAGGAACTGGAACATCGAAGCCTGAAGGCAAAGATCACCAGTGCTGAGCTGCATCTGCGCGAGAAAGACAGCAAGATAAGTCAAATGACGGTAAGTTTGTGCATGGTGCTGTTTGCTGATTGCAAAAGGTCATCGGCTCCGTTTCAGGGTCAATTGGAGGCGTTGCGACTGGAAATATCCCAGATGGCTGGCGATCGGCAAAGGATTATGTCCTCTGCAAAGGCGACTGAACACGAGATGAAATCACTCGAAGACAGCTCTCATGCCATCCGAACCGAACACGCGATCAGCTTGCTGCTCGTTTGGCCGATGCTCGTTTGGCCGATTCATATGAATCAATGTAGCAGTTATATTTAACCGTACAGAGATGCTATCCGCAGCGCATTGCAAGGTTTCCATAGGAACACTACGCCGGGTTCCTTCACCCTCGTATACCGTTCATCAATTTTATTCCTTGCGATAAACATTGCATGACGAGTTCATGACATTCTCTAATTGAGTCAGACTATAGCAACATTGATGGAGAACTTTCGTCAGAGAGTCACATCCCGATACATTCCCTTGCGCGCGAAACTATTCGCATGAAATAAGGCCATCACAAAAAGCCTTTGAAAGGCAGGTGATACGACAAATTGAAGATTGAAATAAGAGAAACGTATGTATTGAAGACGGGAGGCGGGTCAGTGCTCTTCCATAACGGGGGGGGCATTTCGCTTAGACTTGGGCGGCATAGCGGTTAATCCGATTTTTCGCATGGAAAATAGGCTTGGAGTTGCGTGTGAAGGTAAGCGCGAAATGGTTCACGCATCTCCGAGCTTCCATCACCTGCAAAGAATGGCGTTACTTCGGGCAAAACTAACTGTTGTACTGCAAACCCTCCTCACTTACTTGACGAAACCCAATCACCGAAGGAGGCGGGATTAGGCGCTTTCTGGTGCAAACTAAGCGCCCATACCACTATAAAAGGACATTAAAGAAGACAAGATTCGGGATAAAATAGGTGTGGAAAAGCGTTCAGTTATGAAGCTATAGGTGGGAGGTGGTCTTTAAAAGAGAAGGAAAGCAAACGAAACCACCGATTACGCCCCGTACAGAGACCTCCCCTATTTCAGCTACATTCCACCTTGGGATAGAAGAAGACGGCGAATTGGACGAGTTTAACGAACTACTCTACTTGCTCCAGTGTCAATAACATTGGATCGCGCTGGGACCACTGCCTCAAATGCGCCCGCGCTTTTCAAGCAGCGCCACGTGGCAACCGACAGCGAAGGGTGGGGCTTGCGGACGAAGGTGTGAGTTGGGGGTTGGACGAGCTCCTTGCGCCTTTGTCGCGTACTTTCAAGCCGCAAAAGGGGCCCGACATCAACACTTGTCCACCTGCCTACTACCCCTGGATGGAACAGGCGAGCCCGCCTGATCGCGGAGCGTGCCTTTAACCACTTGAAATAGAGATCTTTCACGCTTGCACCGCCCTTATAGACGGTAACCCTCACCACTGCAATCTATCCGTTTGACAAACGCAAGAAGCAGAGCGTAACGGTGACCATGACTTTCACCAATCAAGACTTTGCTTCTCCCCTTGCCCCTGAGATCAATTGAATTGCCCCCGGGAGATCAAAGAGAAAAGTGTCCTTTTCGTGAACTCTAGGTAAATCCTCTCAATTTTTCTTCATTGCTGCACCTTCTAGCACGTTTGAACCAATCATAGGCTAGGCAGTAGGTCGCTTAAAGGAATAGTTCACGAGATAGTTCTCATAAGGGACGATAAGGAAAAGCTGTGTACTGGAGTGGATAGGGGTCCTGCCCAATGTTAGAACACGTGAAGTTTCAGTGGCAGTGGCGCCTTATCAACGGAGTGATAAGGCGCCGAAATCCACTTCCGTTCAGCAAAAACCAAGACTTATCGATGTGGAAAGGGGTGCGATAAGAGCGTGCTAGATATGATACCGTTATCGTTATCGTCCCGTTTTCATTCTGGAGTGCACCTCTTATCAAGCAGCCGCACCTTCTTATCTCATCGTATCATATCTTCCATGGGCTTACACTCGTCCAACAATTACTGCCTCACACCTTATCGATTGATAACGCGAGGGTAGCAAATCCAGCGTGGAAGCCAAGCGTGACTGCTTCCTTGGAGGCTTAAGTTTGGATTTAAACTCAAGCTAAACCCAAATCTAACTTTAAGCTTCAATGATCCGCGTAAGCCCTGGTGACCCTGACATCTGAGGGAGAACCAAGTCTCCCCATTCAAACGCCAAGCGACAATTTGTGATACCACTGCCTCTTAAATGTTTGCTATCTCGAATCAAATTTTCTGCCAATGAATTTGAAAACTGAGTCACTGCGCACCTTGTTCGTAGCTTACTCTTTCTGAAGCATTATTCTGATTTCAGAACACACAAGGTCGTCTGAATGACGCGCTCTCGGAACTGGAACAGGTGAAGAGACTTCTCGAAGATTCTCGACGTCAACATCAGAAACAAAAGGAACAGGTCGAGAGGCTTTATGTATGAAGAAAAAGCACTGGAAACAAGCGGTGAGGGAATTATTCGATGAAATTAGTTTGAGGCGGCTTTCTAATAGCTGAACTTACACACGCGCTTTGTTGTACGACTGGACAGCAGAAATTGTGTTCGCGATAGGTTGATAGTCGTCAAACATTTGACATTGCCTCGAAACTTTTGAGAACCCCGAATAAGAGAGAAGACAATTTTTCAGGCTGTCACTGCGAAAAAGACCTCGGAAGACTATCACAAATCAGTTTATGAGGAGAAAATAACACAACTCCAACACAATCAAGAATCGCTGTTGGCTCGGAACGACGCTCTTGTTGCTGAAATTGATCGACTCAGGTAAGCACAGTACTATCTAGGACTGGTGCAAAAAGTATTTTTAGTTCAGTTTGGCCTAAAGTGACAATAATCCAGTCAACATGTCTATCTCACTAAATGCTCAATGAATTATCGTCATTCAGACTGTATTGTTGACTGTTTATTGTCAACTAGCAAGCTGTTAGGCATAGGAGTATTGAGGCAACAACTCTAGATCAAATTAGCCGTCGCTAACGAAATTGGGATAGAATTTGACTGACAAGGGAAGGATGGTAGGTCGAAGTGGCCGTTCGAAATGAAATGTATACCTCCTGATGCGTCTCCAGACGCTGATTCCAAATCTGCCTTCCAAATCTGCTAAACGGCTCTCCGAACGGAGTTATGAAGCGTAATAGCTCAGTGGTGATGGTCCGGGGTGGCAGGTAAAAAGCTCGTAGGATCGGTTCCTTTGCAAGTTTGTTTTGCTTTTGTCCGCAACACTTCTAGAGACAAAAGCAAAGCAACCAATTTGCAAAGGAACCGATCCTACGAGCTTTTACCTGCCACCCCGGACCATCACCACTGAGCTATTACGCTTCATAACTCCGTTCGGAGAGTCGTTTAGCAGATTTGGAAGGCAGATTTGGAATCAGCGTCTAGGAGACGCATCAGGAGGTATACCATACTTCAAGTTCGAACGGCACACTTCACACCTCCATCCTTCCCTTAGTGAGAAAGAAAAAAGAGGCAAAGAACCCGCCAAGAGATTTCTTAGACAAGGACCATTTCGCTTCTCGCCTGAAATCAGCGAGGGCGTATACGGACGAGTTGTCTAAATCTGCTTGCTCCAGGGTTCCACTAACCCGCGCATATGTGAATTAGCACCATTTCGCTAATCCCAGCTAGCAATACCATTAGTTGGTAGCACTAGCTGTATTTCGTCCTGCTTTAGCTAATATTAGCCGTCATTAGGCTTATTCTATGTAAGCCTATGCCACCATTTTGTTACTTTCGACACCGCCTGTTTAATGGCCCACAACTATGTTTTCTTGCGCGTATCCTACCGAGAACAGATATTCGCAACACGGACCTAATCTGGAGTTGTTGCTTTATATAATAGAACTGCTCAAGAAAAATGCCAGGTTTCGGGAAAGGCGAGTTAGAGAAAATACCTGTTAACATTGTTGTTGTATTCGACCCATTTCAAGTCAGATGAGCTCATTTGCAGGCATGAACAACGGATTCCGCCAATCGCGTGAGCCTTCTGAACCAGAAATTAGCGGAAATGCACGGATCTTGGAGAGCCACGAATCACGCTAAAGAATACCCTCTCGCCAGCATTTCTTGCTTGCCAGAAGCCCGAGTCAGACTGGAGTAAACTTGAACGCGAAATGAGGGAAGAGCTGGTGGTGCTGCGCAAAGGTAGGGGACTGATTTCGCTCTGTGATTCTTCTGACGTGATAGTTTTCCAACTCAGCACCTTCAGATAGGTTAGTGCTCACATCTGAAGTGGAGGAGCTCAAGCGAAAGCTGCTACGAGCAGAAGTGGAGAAGAAGGAAGTGGATGGATTCCGAGCTCGACTCGATCGTGAGGTGGCCTCGTTGAAGAGGCACATTGAAGCTGTGCGTCTCACTTGGTTTTGTTTTCATATTCTTTTTTCATTTTTTCATATTTTTCATACTATTTTCATATTCAGTTAGGAATTGCTACGTGCAGTTTTCAGCTCGAAGGAAGAAAAACGCGTACGAAAGCCGCTGTTCAATACCACCTCATGAGGGAAATCGATCGATAAATCCTCTATCGCCGCTATGGAAAAGAAAATCTCAAACTCGATACAAAATTTTGTGCCCAGTACAACTCCCAAGCTCGTAAGCTATTCGGCGTTTAAGTTTGTTTTCCGCACCTCCAAACAACTGCGAATGCAGTTCAGAATCGCCCTCAATTGGAACGCGACGCTGGGAGCAGGAATGTGACGAAAATGCTTCAAAGATCAAAGTGAACTGGAATCCAAAATATCCAAACTTATAGTGGAAAAGCGGCAAGTAAGTGTGGTACATTCCATGATTGGCTACATCGCTTTTCTCCGCTTTCTTAACCTTTGCGGTGATGCCTCATTTGACAGCCTTTTTGTCCTTCATCATAACAGCGCACTTACCAGAAGTACTTTTTTAGAATGTGCCATTAAAAAAAACGAATTTACTGATAATACGGTAACCCCCCAAGAGGCCGTCGCGCGGCAGAAGACAGAGCCGAACGCAGTCAAGTCTGATGAGCGAAACTTGTATGCACGCTACAGTGGAAACATCCAATCTTGAACGCTGAAAGTCCAAACCAGTTTACGCGTTCGAACTCGATCCGCTGACTTCGCTGTTCCGTGCGCGTCGCCGACGGGCCTACGAAGTTATACGAAATTAATACTAGAATAGACCGCGCACGAAAGGCACAGCTCAACTAGCAAGAAATGTGGCACATGGAATATCGAAATTTTCGTATCTCGAAGAGAGAGTATTGCCACTTTCCAGACACATCCGTCTTCTCAAAGCAACACACCTAGCGGAGGTCGAGTCGAAAAATTTAACCAGTGGGTGAGATAGAGTAGCTAGTGACCACCAGCTAGCACAAATGTGGCGCGGCTCGAAATGTGCCGCCATAAAATGCCGGCATGGGGTCTTACAAAAGTCAGCATTTGGCGTTTAATCCTAGAATATTGGACGAGTTACGTAGCGCACACCCCAAGTCACGCACGTGGATTACGACGTAGTGGCTACTTCAAATGCGCTCGGGTTAGGTTGAGCTGTGGAGCAGGCAAGTTTGTACAACTCGTCCGGTCCGCCCTCCCTTATATTCGCGGAGAATCTTTGTTCAGGGCCTCATCGACGGTTCTTCTTGCTTCTTTTTCCTTTTAGTCACTGCGGAACCCACAGCTTTATTAGCAACCTCTGTGACCCCAAAAATTCGGTCTAGGGGTGTTGCTCAGACAGTGAGTGCGAGATTATGGGAGGCGGAAGGGGTGTGGTCAGACGGCCTTTCAACGTCTTTCCACTAATGGCTTCTTCAAATATACACCCATCGCATCCAGTGTCTTCGAAGGCGGAGTTTACGATTTGAAGGCCTCCATCAGAATTAAGGCAGACGTCAATGGAGGCGGAATGAAGAAAAAACATGGGAAACGATCCAGAACCCTGAGAAATGGAACCCCTTCTTTGCCGTTGACTTCTGCATCAATATGACTCATCGCTGCTGCCCCTCTTCTAATGCGCCTTCTTAACGGGTAGAGACCACCGGCGAGTTTTTAGTCAGTCGGTGGGCGTGCTGCTTCGCGGGACAATAATTCGCTGCCACTTGCGTGTCGTTCCGCCTCCTTTAGGATGTAAGTTTTCTCTTGTCCCACTTTCCACTTTATCGTGGAATCTCCCTTTGACAGAAATTCCGTGCTGCACCTAGAAAAAGAATATTTCTCAAAAATAATCCCATTCAGAACAGTCATCATTCTGCTTGCTTGGGGCAGCTGACCATCCTCTAGTGGTCAGGTACTACTTCGTTGGATTTGGTTGACCAACTCATATTTTCGAAGTAGTTTTTCTTTAAAAATGCAAGACAACAAATTCGGAAAACATTTCCTTGTAGCTCCGCGAACTCTAAAATCGAATGGATATCCTTTGTATGGGTTTCTACATTGCGTATAGAATACAATTATACGTTTCATTTTCCTAATTAACCTAACCATCGATCTCGAAAGTCCTTATCTCTCAAAACACGCAACTATCAAGGCACGGAATCCGTTCGAATTGGTCAGTTAACCCGCTCGGAAACGAAACAACGGTTGCGAAGAGGATCTTCAGGGAGGAAGAAATGCGAAAGTAACCATGGGAAAAACTGAAAACAAGGGCTCTCTTCTTGCGATGCCAAAAGTGCTTCGGCGGACAGACGCAACGCAGCGAGAGAGCGTGCTAGAAGGCACCTCCTGTGAGAGGGTCCAAACACCGCATGTGCAGCGGGTGAAAATGAAACGCAGCGCTTGCAGCGGTCAGGACAAGGCTTTAGCACCTCTGTCGTGCAATTTAATCACGCGTGACGAACTACCTGGTTTAGAGCACCCTGTCTTCCTCTTCACGGTACGAATCACATCCAAACCTACCTTAACCCTGCACTTCAAGTTCTTGGCATTGACGGCGTTTAACACGCGACTGTAATAAGGGAAAGTCCGGCAAACTGATCGTAACTTTCGGGGAACATTGTCTAGATGGGTGGGTGTTTGCTGTCAATATGCTTGTCGGTGTCGTCCGTTGATGAAGAAAAGGGTTAAACGACAGTGACCTTCACTTCACAGCACATTGCCGGCCAAAGCAAAACTTGAAACAATGTCCAATAAGCTGCTGCGCTTCGATCCCGCTCGGAAATCTTTGCCCATAAACCAGTTTCTTGTGATAATTCAATGACTGAATTCTCCCTAGTTGAGCTGTGCCTTCAATGACAGCGGCAGTGTTGGGTGCACTGCAAGTTTGAGGCAATCTTACGGCAGCTGTTCATCACTGAGAATATTCTGGGATTGCGCTTGTGAACTTTTCGTTCACGAATTCTGGCATGAGCCAAAAGTACACGCTGCGGATTGCGTGCGCTGGAATTCGCGACATTTAGTGGGACCCGTTGAACCTGCTCGAATTTCTGCTCTCTCTGCGCCCTACTGCCGTAAAAGTGGAAGTCAGCAGCACTAATGCACGTACGATGCATCATGAACAGGCAACACACGGCACAGACGTGGAGAGGAAACTGAACACTGTCGACAGCTCGCTCCAAATGTCGCGATATTTGGCGCGCGGATCGCGGCGTGTACTCTTGACTCACATGCCCGAACTCCGCCCACCAATTTGCGGTGCGTCCATTGCGACCGCTGCAAGTGTGACCATGGAATGCTGTAGTGCAACCCTTTGGTACCTTTCAAGCTCAGAATACCTTTGTTGGGTAAGGCTAATCATTTTCTACTAAAAATTTCGCGTGAACTTTATTCGTTACGATCTTATCCTCTTCACCCTCTTAAACCTGATTTTTGTGCGGTTAACTGTTTCTCACTTACCAAAGACACCTATCGTAAAAAATGTTAACCGAGTGAACTTACCAGTAACCGTTTCGTTTCATTGTCACAGTTTTAGCTTGAAATGGTCATTGAGCAAAGAGAGATGAACTTCACACATAAACGTAAGCTGTTGGAATCGCAATTGTCGCTGGTTCGAGACCAGTTGGAGGCGGAGAAGAAGAGACGGTTGGAGCTGCAACAACGAGACGCAAGAGCTGGAGCTGGAGCAGGAACTGGCACTGGCGGCGCTGCACCTGAACGTCACTTCAGCCGCGCTTCGGATCTTCCGCTCGAGCCGATCGAAGTCGATTCAACGGCAGAAAAGCCCATTTCGGGTATGAACCATACGAATTACTATATCGTGAAAGGGAAACTTGTCTTGAATGATGGGCCAGCGATTCCTGGCGCTGTGCCAACTAATCAGCTTCGAGAATGTTCGCTTCTTTTTAGTTTGCTGTTTAGCTTCTTTCCTTCTTTGTTTGTTATTTAGCATTCCAGTGATGTCTGCCTGTGCATCTCGTGCAGCTAACCCCCCGTAGTCCTTTGTGTGCCGTGCTTCGTCAACCCATGACTTCCATTTATATGGTAATATTCGCTTAACTAATCATATTCATACTCGTCTTTCATTCGTTTGCCGATCTCATCCACAAGCTTTGCCATACGTTCTCCTGCCGATCTTTGCATTTACACGGCCAATTTTTAATCGTCAAATTTTTCTTTTTAATGTCCATACACATTACATTTTAGGAGAATTCTATTGTTATTATGAAATGAATATGTGCAGATTTTTCTTGTTCACAAATCTACACGGATCCCGCCTGTTGCATGTCTGCCCTTATCATTTGCCTAAGTTTGCTTTCTACCCTCAGTTTGATCACCTGCATTTTCATGCATGAAAGCAGTTCGAAATGCAATTGAACAAGCTCAGCCATAATAAAAAAGTGCACCTAGGCCATACTGCAGCAGCACTCTTGTGGTTGACCTAAAGGCACATCCCACGATCGGATAGGTGTGGACTAATCAACTACGAAGAACCCTTGAAATCATATTGCGATCTGATCGTGTGGACGGGATTAGTGCAACTGTTCATTTATCCGTTTTGTTAGCTCTATTTGATCACCATATTTTACATTTTATCAGCAAGAGAGCCGATCAATTAGAAAAGCCAGTTGTTGCGCTAACCCCTCCCACTTGATCATCGCGCATCGTGATTGTGAAGTTCTTTGCAGCTTTGTCCTGTTTTTCATATACTTGTGGATGCGAGTATCGCATCTACTTTCATATTTAGTGTTACAATCCACGCATATTCAATCACGGAGTGGTCTCCGGACAGAATCTCTGGGCTCTGTTCAAGAAACGAAAGCTGCTGCAGTATTACCAAGAAGTAGTCTGCGAAAAAAGCTAGATACTTGATTCTTCCGTAGTCGTAGAAGTAGCGCACGCTATCATTGAGTTGAAAACAGTTGGAACGCAGTTAGATTCGCAGCGTCGGTAAAGGCCCACAAATCTTCTAATCCCACAGGTATATGGCTTTGAATGTACTGATAGCTTGTTGTTTCCAGTCAGTCAGTAACTCTTGGTGTTCGGCAAACACCGCCTATTTCACGGGAAGAATTCAAAACATTCACAATTACTTATTTGTTCCGTTTTGCATGAATTCCCAAACATGGGGG